AGCGCCATGGAGGCATTGCGCAGAGCACTGTGCAGCTTCCGCTTCAAACCTTTGTAGGTTTCGCACTGGCAACATGCCTCGATCCTGCTATGCAGGAGCCGGGAGCTTCACCGAGCAAGTCGACTGCTAGTGAAGGCGACGAGCGCATGGCATCATGGGCTTAATCCGCAGATTCACGGAGCGACCGCTTTGTTCTCTTGACGTTGGAGGTGGCAGTATCGCCCTGCAATCCATCAATGAAGAGGGCTTTGCAGAGGCAGTTGACAAGGAGATCGGTTGGATTTGTGCCATGTCCAAATTCCTTGGATGACCAAATTCTTGACCTCCAAGGGGGACTCTGTCCTAGCAGCATTGAGCAAGACTGCCGGCATTCAGGAAGATGAAGGCCGAGCTTTGGGTTCTGGGGGAGAGTGCTCACTTTGGATCCAATGTTGTATTCCCTGGCCAGACCGGCGGCTGGTAGAATTGCTGCTGCGATTCGACCCGTTGAGACTGCGAACCGAGCAGGCATCTCAGCATTTTTGCGCTGCGGTTGCGCCACACGGACGGCTCATTCGTGTTCTGTTGTTCAAGCCGCCGCAGTGATCCTGGCCCATGCAGCTCTGATGTGCAGAAGCGCTGGTTGCCGACTAGCACCTTGAAGACACGATAAACGAAAGCAAAAGAGAAGCAAAGACGCTGTTTGACCTTTTGAGCCGAGGTTCCAGCCACTGTTGCTGCACCGCATGCACTACCAGGGTATGGCCGCTCAGGCAGAGCAGGACCGGAATTTCTTGCCGTGTGGGTCATTGCATGCGCATTGACAGCATTGACGAGAGGAGCGATCACCTAGGAAGGAGGAAGGGCCCAACGTACGACGCTCAGCTCTGGCGAAATGAAGCATTGCTTTCTTGTGGGACTTCATGCTTAGCGTCTTTGTCAGCAAACAGTCTAAGTCGGAAGTTGGACACCCAACAATGCAACTGATGGCGCAGGTGGTCAACCCTGTTATTGATGCGCAATCTCGTTCTCTGGCCGAGAAGTTGCTGGAGAAGCAAAAAAGCCTGGCAGCTCAGGAGAAAAGAAGTGCGTTGACTGGTTGCAGCTGACACGCTCAGGTGAGTCTGGAAAAGCCACACACGCAGAGCTTCTTTTTTGGCGCCACAAGCAAGTTCAGGCTTTGATTGCATGCGATGTGGCATGTATCGTGTGAGCCCGCACCACGCCAGGCGCGAAAAGAGTCCTTAAGAAAGCAGCTCAGCCAGGAGGAGGCAAGGCAAGAGCCAAGCAGGAGAGTGGCTGGGTCGCTGGGGTTTGATCTCAGGAAAAGGGTTGCACTTTCCGACCGAAGTGCAATCCGTCCAAGTCCGGACCTCGCAGAGATTTTCGGAGCATTGGGAGCCTCAAAGCTCCGAGGCCGAAGGACGGACATGTCGAGATACAGACACCGCCGGGCAGCACCCGCTCAGAGGCGAAGCCGCTGTGAGCAGTCTGCCCAGTGCGGCCGAAGTGCCTTTGCATGGGTCGGCACCCGATGTGAAATCCAATAAGACGGCTTTGTGGCTTTGCTGCCGTCCTCAGAATCTTCGAAGAAATCCAACCAGCTGAACACATGCACGCCATCAGTTTGTACTGCCCAGTCCTTCCTCGGAATATAGCCGCAACATAGCTATTTACTGCCCTTCTTCCGACTCCTTTCGCCTGACTCGTGTGCCATCCCGGAGCGGCATGTGCACGAAGAATGGTGGGTCTTCTTCTTGTGCAACTTCTGTCCAAGATGAAACTACATGTCCGACTCTTCCGCACTGACCTGCGATTGCTCTTGCAGCTTTACCGCTGCAAAAATGCCTTGCAGCATTACACGGTACCAATCCGCAGGTTTCAGTTTGGTGCACGGGTGGGTGGCAAGCTTCGCAGTCGTCAAACGTCCTTTCGGTTGTTGTCCACCAATATCTGGGGCACTGAGCTCCGCGGCCGTCGTCTACCGACTGTGCGAAGACCGGCCAGTGTGCCGAAAATGGAGATCTCCTTTCATTGCTCTGGAGGTTCTGTATGCTCGAGGTCTTGCTGATAAAGAACGGCGGAAGGCCAAGGCAGGACAAGAAACGCAGAGCGGGGACCAGTAGCTTCAGCTTGAACTCCTGACCCGAGCCTCCGCATCCAAGCAGGTTCTTGAGAGCGAGAAGGCCAGAAGCACAGCCGAGGCTCTTTCGTGATTGACACATCTTGGTGTATTCGTCGTTCGTGTTTTCTGTGTTGTACAGCTATATCTGGCATCGTGTGGCTTCGTGGCTTTCCTAACTCTAATTCAATCGGAAGCTGCCAGAGAGCAAGTTAAGGGCTTGCCACGCGCCAGGCGCGAGGATGCACATTCCGACCAAATCTCTCCAAGAGCGTCAACAGGCATCTGACCTATGCAATGTGCATGTCATACATGTCTGTAGGGATCTACAAGCCTTTGCGCTGTGTGCTTTGGCCGGCTGTCCAGTTCATTGGGAAAAGACACTGAGGGTGCTAATTGAGTTGGGATTGCTCCGTGCTGACGCGCCATTGCAATGTACAAGTCGCAGAAGCTCGAAGACTCTAAGCACTTTCGCTGCACCGGAACTCAAGCGGTGCAGACAAATTGTTCGAGTGGTTTAATGGTGGTAAGGCGGGCATGAAAAGAGCACCAGCTGAATCAACGGAGTCGCGAAACAAGACGTCACTGATTGAGCAGCGTGTATCTTGTGGCCTTGTGCTGAAGGATGTTTGTGTTGAATCTTCGCTTCGGACTGGATTCCCTGTGTTTGTAGGCTTGTGCTTCCGTTCACTGGTGTGTTTTCGATGAGGTTGTCGTACACCGTGGCGAGGCCGACCCCTGTCAACCTTGGCTGATTCTCGGTCGTTGTCGTCGTCTTCTTGTGTTTTGTCGTCCTCTCGCCATGCTGACTGGTGGGATGGATGAGGCCAAAGCCGATGCAGCCACCATAGCAGCGAAGTACTTTGAGCAGGTAGTCCAAGCGTTTCGGATTCACCGAGGCCCGCAAGCAGAAAAGCGAGGGTTTGAGGCATGAGGTAAGCCGCCTCGGGGAAGCAAGGGCAAGATTGACTTGCCGCTCACAGCGCAAGTGGCCGCAGTGAAGACTAAGTCGTAGAAGCCGAAGTGGTAGCCAGCCTCGAGTGGAAAGTGGCACCGATAAGAAACAGCAGCTTATGGCAGAGCCGGTCTCCAGCCAGCACCGTAAGAACATGCCGATCCAGAGCGAAGTGACAAAGCACCATGCCACCCTGTCTTCTGTTTCCTTCCTCGGCCGTGCTGCTCTCTTGGGCTTTCCCACTGCTGCTTGCTCGCTCGTGCTGTGGTCGTGCTGCCAGAGCCATGCTTCAGACACAGCCGAGCAGGATTCCGGATCGTGTGTCTGGCGCAAAAAAATTAGAAAATGATTTGGGGTGTGCGCAGACCCCTAGCTACCTCCCGCGGAAGGCTGTTCTCAGACCGTGAGTGATCAAGAGCTTGATTGAAAGCTTATGAGTTTGCCTGTCGCAGTTACCACAAGACTCAAAAGAATACGCAGCAGGCTCGCATTGCAAGTCCCTGATTTTGCTGGAGGCTATCTGAGCATCCTCTGCACAGGTGCCTCGAGGCTTCTATGAAACGCGCCAAAGAATACGCGCTGCCTATGAGATCCGTGAAAAGGTGTTGCAGCAACAGGAGGCGGAGCGGACTGTCGAAGGGTACGCAGGGTCCGGTTTGCGGTGAGTTTCCCATTGGTAGGACCGCATGGCCAAGATCGAGCAGACGGTCCCTTACCAGGCCAGGCGTTCAGCCGACCTTGACAGCTTGAGGTTTTCAACTCTCCAGCAGGTGTCTGGGACAACTTCAGCCCCTCTGGTTGCTGTCTCAGTTATATGAGTTCTATGTGAGTGTTGATCTGCGCGGATTGTTCCGTTTGTGGCTTGTTGGAGCTGCCAAGGTTGGCAAGAGCCCACTTCCATCCACAGGCCACGGCCGCATGATCCCGCTCGTGACAGTCGGCCTTTGCGCTGCCGTCAAAGAAACATATCGACTCTCAAGACATGCATGCATGGACTTCCACGATCTGAGTGTGCCTCTGCCAGGCAATTCGCCCGGCCTCTCTCCTGTGCCTGAGGCGGGGATCCGATTTGCTCTCCTCTTGCCATTTCCACCTTTCTGCCAGTCCCCGACGAAGCCCGTGCCCCAGCTGGCCAAAGCCTGGCCCGCAGAGCGATCCAGGGACGAGATGTCCGCTTTCTGCAGGGGGCAGCGACCAGGTAAGGCTGCCGCAACAGGCCGGTTCACGGGTTCCCTTCCCTTCGGCGATCTACGCAGATTTATGTTTAAAAAGAGCCGGACGACCCGAGGGCACACAAGCTTCACACCGCCGTGGCGAAGCGGCAACCAAGCAGACGGTTTGGAGGCAGGATTTGGGCCGGCGATCCTGCAGGCCCAGACACGCACATCCTTTCAGCAGGAGGGCATACGCACCGAAGCCGAAGGCCAGCACACAGACGTCAGATTCACGGATTTCAGAAGTCGATGTGCCGGTGGCACACCAAGGAGGGGGTCTCGATTCTCAGCCAGCCACTGGAGATGAAGGCTGAAACGGTCACTGGCATGTGTTTGCGTTTCGGATTAGACCTGAAGCGGCCAGGCAATGCCGAAGGCAATGCCAGTCCAAAGGAGCGGGCTCAGGACATGCAGCCCAGCCACAGCCGTACGAAGTTCACCTTCGTTCTCTGCTTCATGCGACCTCGACCATCCTCCGCCAACTCCTGCTCGGTCAGTTGTCGCGCCTCTCTCGTCAACAGCGAAAGTTTGGCCAGATCTGCTTCTGGTAGAGGTTTTCTTACCCGATAGACACCTCCGCATGCCGGGATACCCTTCGTCACTGTGAGATTCACCTCCCAGTCAGAGGCAGAGACTCAGAGGTTTTCGTTTTTTTTGGTCATTCCTTCGTCAAATGCCCTCTCGCTGTCAGATATTGTCCCGTGTTTGATACAGGTTGCAAACTACCGTGACTCACTACGGATGTCCGTCGGATGCATTGCCGCTTCAAATGCAGGTTGTAACTTCCCGATATCATCCGCCAGATACTTTTCAGGAGGATATTCCACCAGATGCGCCGCCCATGCTTTATGCGACTTCGGCTGCATTTATAGGCATGTCGCTTTGCTGGACTGACAAGATCCTCCAGAGCAGTCGCTGCAGGTGGATGTGAACATTACTCAGGGCCAGCCGGCCGAAAGGATCGTTCTGTATCAGGCAGACATCATGTCGCGGCGCAGATCTGAAACGCAGCCGATGTATTGATTCTACGCTGACAGGGACAGAACGTTAGCGAAGTGGCTGCCGAATTTGCGGCCAAGCACGTTCTGACACCAGTGCCTTGACGGAAGGTTTCGAAGAGCAGGTGTCAGAGCTGATTCCGCTTTCTGAACTATTGTCTTCGAAGGCCTTGGCACAGAAGCTGCATACGCTTCTCCGAGAGGCGCTAGTCTTTGCATGTCGACAACCCGAGAGTGTGCGTGGCCTATGCCTGTCTGCATCTGATGTTCCAGCGCTTCGACGACAGAACCCAAACCAACAAATTCGACTCGAGATGGAAGCTCCCGTGCCAGGTTGTGCTGAAGCAGGAGCTGCAGAATCAAGCGAGGTAGCTGCCACAGTCAGCCGGCTTTGATGCTCTGGGGCTTCGATTTCGTTTGTCAGCTTTTTGGAAGTGACCAAATGCCTGTTGCCAGCCATCCAAGCTCCAGTCAGTCCATTGCCTCCATCCTCTGACTGTCTTCCAAAGCCTATGGCTAGTTGCGCAGTGTTTTTGGATAGAAAATGGTACAGCCTGCTCAGAGGCTTGGGGCCTGCGCAGTAGCTTGCGCTTGCAATGCGTGGAATAGGCGGTTCCAGCTGAACTGCCGGAGGCAACATGCCTACCGATGTGGTAGGGCTTTTCATCTAGCCCTTTGCCAATGTATCTTTCGCCAGTGTTTAAACACTGATGTTCGGCACTGATCGGAAAGGCGGAGCCGCAGAACAGGATTTATCGCGGAGATGGTTTCGTTCCACATGTGCAGATACTGTCGGCCTGCTCTCTGATCGTTGCGGGAATTGCAGGTTGGGAGAAGATAACACCGTCTTTCGCACCTACACGGACAAAGCTTATGTCAAGTTACATCGAAGTTGACTCGTCATCGCTAGTTACGCTCGTTTCGCATTGTTCTCCGACGAAACCTCCTTTGAGGGCACATCTGCGGGGCACGAGGCTTGATTGTTCGAGTGACAGGACGAGCAGCATTTGAGATAAAAAGAGCAAAAGGTACTGCACAGAAGTCAGTCGAATGGGTTTCGGTCTCGGTCCTTACGCGGGTAGATATGTCGGACTTGTCATCGTCGGCTCAAGAAGTGAGGCTTATGGACGCCCAATTCAATGAAGCGATCGGCCAATGCTGCCTAGCAGGAGAGAGAGGAATCCGTTCTGAACTGATGCGCGTCAGTTTGAAGGGACTGGCAAGCGAAGGGCCGCAGTGTAGCGCTACACCTTCTGGACCACTGCCATGGCGACCCAAGTCTTGGAGTGTGGAGGGGTTGTAACGTGAGACACTCAGGTCCCCTGGTTTCCTCGCAAGCTAAGCCAGCTTAGCCTCTTAGTTCTCAGCTTCGAGGTATCAATTTCTGTGTGGTCGTGAGATTGCGCGCAAAGATCGCTTCGCAACACAGATGGCCAACTACTGCTACTTGGCCTCGTCCTCGGTGTTTTCTCACCAGGCGCTTCAGATTTTGTCTGCCCGACTATCCTTGCCCTCTTCTCGCTCCCCTCTCGCCCTCTCTTCTCACCTTGTCCCCTCCTCCTCCTCCCCCTCCATCCCCTCTCCCCAAGCCCCCTCTCTCTATCTCTCTCGATCTCTCTCGATCTCTCTCGATCTCTATCTCTCTCTATCTCTCTCTCTCTCTCTCTTTCTGTCAGTTGATCTTTCTGTCTCAATCTGCCACTCTCTCTGCTGGCTTCTCCCTGCCTTCCTCCCTCCCCTCTCTCCCACCCGCCCTCCCTCATTCTCCCTGTCTTCCTCACCCGCCGTCTTTGTCCTTTGTTTTCCGCCTTCTACTTTGGCCAAGCAGGTGGTGAACACGTTGGATCGCTCAGCAATCGCCGTGGATGCGGCCTGGGACGTGGAAGGCGGTGAGTATCGCCGAGTGGCTAGAAGCTAGACAGGACATCATGAATTGAAGAACACTCGTAGCCTTCAGGGCAGGTTCTGGAGATCAACGTCTTCTCAATTCTCGGCATCGGTTCGCTTGGAATTGATTCTGCTATCTGTTGGCTTGTCATTCGATCGCTTCAGTGGATAAGTCACAACCTTTGAGACTGAATGCGACGTCTGGGGACATGATTGGCAACCTGCTTTAGGGCGCCGTGGGCAGGTCTTTACAAGTTGGCGGCTGAGCTGGAGGCTTCTGCGCAGCACGTGTCGCATGTGCTGAGGGATTGGTGACTCTGCCAGACTGCCAGGTGACGATTCGAGGGTGTGCTCCGCACCTAAACCCTGCAGCAAATCTAGGGCGCTATGTTTCACTCAGCAATCTGGCAACCATGATTGTGTACCCGTACAGCTGATGCAGCAGCTCAGACAGGTGTACACTCATTATCATTTCGATCACTGTGGTGGTGACGTCCACCCCATGCCTGCTGCCCAGTGACTAGAAGGTGTGGATGGCACTGGATTTTGCGTCCGCCTGTGCATTGAAGTCAAACGACCAAGGTTCACAGGTGGACAGAAGGCCGGCCTCGAGAATGCAGCTTTTGCCTTCAGGGTTCGTGCGGGCATGTGAAAGTGAAGGTGTTCCTCTCTGGGGCCAAAGAAGTGGAAGATGCTGGAGGGACGATTTGGGCAGGGCAGGCCAGGGTGGTTAGGACCTCTTCGGAAGGATTCGTTGAGAGGGTCGACTCGCCCAGGGTGACGCGGAGCAGATCCAAAAGCAATGCAGCTTGAAAGAGGCAACGGCTGGGTTTCAACAAGCCCCAGAGAGACGAAACACCAGCATTGCTGCGCTGCAGGTCGTGGCCATGCGGGATGGTGATGTCAAGCCCTTACAGAACTGTCCTAGCCAGTGCGCTTTCTTGAGAGGCCGCCTGGACTCTAGGCATGTGCCAAAGCTCCTGAGATCTCATGAGTCAAGTGGCAACTCCAGATTTCAATTTCTGTGCCCACTACCTAGTCCAGGATTGTTTCATTTTTCCTGGTGACTCTTGTGTTGCTGTGCTCTTCAGCGGCACACTGATTCCCCTAGAGGTCATTCCCTGCGGAGACCTGGTTCTGCACATTCTCCGCACGCCTGGACACACGCCTGGTGTCTGGGCAGCGACAGCAGCCTTCGCCGTCGGAGACACGCCTACTAAGTCTGCTTTTTCTGCCGCAATCAGCGAGCATGCTGGTCCGATAACAGTGTGCAGCCATGGCAAGGTTCAATTTGTGTGTTTGCGGCCCCTCGCGGCCTCTCCCCGCGGTCGACGTGCATCGCTTGGAAGATAGTCGAGCACTTCCTTTCTGGGTCCTCAGCTCTCTCTGCTGCCACGACGGTCACTCTGAGCCTCTGAGGATTGGCAGCACCGGATTGAAAGAAGCGCGGACGAAGGCCGAGGTCGCTGTTGACACCCCGAAGGATGTAAGGTCATGTTTGATTGAAAGTGCCTGCGCTGCTGCAAATTGCTACACCGACGTTTGGAAGTTTTTGAGGCAGGCCTCTTGATCACAGGGCATTGGCCTCGAATGAATTACCCACCAAACTGAGTTGCATTGTCAAGCTTCACCCAGGGACACGCTCTTCGTTGGTAGTTGCGGACGGACGGATTTGCCGGGACTGCCTCTTGCGTCTCGTTCTTGAGGTTGAGGATGAGTGCACTCTTGAATAGTTCTTGATGAATCATGATTCTGTTGCCTGGTCACAGGATCCGATCCGCGAGAGATGATGAGTTCCCTGGCCAGGTGCGGACATGTGCGAGGGACAAGTCTGAGGCTCGCGTGGAGATTCGCAGCCTAAGGGTTGTTGCTCAGGCTTAGCACCATGGATCCCGCAGTGGTGGTCTGTCCCGGCCTGCGCCCGCAAGCGCCCTCAGGTGGAATCCTGGTAGGCTTGCTATAGACTCTAGGCCACAACTATGCCGCGGAGCCCTTCACGACCATTGGTGCCGAACGGGTGAGCCTTGGAGTGCTTGAATACTTGTCTCTAAGATTCCTGCAGCAGAGCTGCCAGGCTCAGAACGAGATGGTGATAATGGGCCTGTCGCACTTTCCAAGTCCGCTGGGCACTTACGAAGGTGGTGTCTCATCAGCGTAGGGCATGCGCGGCGTTCCGTCGGTGGGCACTATCTGTAGCCAGTAGCTGCCAGTGTGCAAAGCTTTGCAGGTGTTGCCTGGCGGGCCTAGTGCTGTGTGTTCTATACTGCCATGGGCAATTCAGGCCTCCGGTACCACCATGTGCAATGTGGCACCCTCAACACATTCTGAGCTCTGAGTTCAATGTCATCGTCTGGCGAAGACGCGTGCTCTCTGCCTCTGCAGTTGTCGGCAGGTGTGGCGAAGGCGGTCAGATATGTGGCCCCAAGAAGTTCCGGAAAGGGCGAAAGGTGCGAATCGTGAACCTCGCGTCAGAAGCTGGCCAGGCCGATTGCTTAGGAAGTGCTTGTTATGATGCATCTGCGTGACCTGAAGATCCCAGTTTCTCAGCTGGCAGCAACTTCGTTGCTGCAGCTTCAGGTATCTTGTGGGATTGGAAGAAGGATTTTGGAAATCTTGCTAGCATCTGCGGAGATTCTGCGTGTCCGTGTCGCCCGTTCCGTTCGTCAGTACTTGGGGGAAGGCACGTCGGTTCCTCTGTCGAATGCGGCAGTAGTTGGGGCAAAGGGGTCTTGGATTCGCGTGCGACCGGGTGTGGCCTTGTTTTTTGCGCAGGTCAGAGTCCTTCAAACAAAATGTTGCTGCTTTCTACATCACAGTTGAGCTCTGTCAACAGCCCCATACGCACCCGACTCCACAGGCCTGGGACTCTGTGGGTCCCAGATACGCAGAAGCCGAGGAATCTTTTCGGCCTCATCAACAAGAGCAGTGTCCGGAAGCCACCACCTGTGTTTGCACACTCCTTGCCCACTTCAGGCGCAAGTTTGCGTTTATCGAAAATCCCCGACCGTCACACAGCAACAGATACACTGTCCCTCCTTTCCGTGTGACCATCCGTGCAGATACTGCTGCCAGCAACAAACTCAAGCGCCTTGGGTACCTTCACCGAGATGGTTCGAACACTGAACACCATAGCTGGAACCTCCGATAACCTTGTAGGAATGATAGATGCGGTATTGCCACTACTTGATGACGTACGTTATTGGAATCGGCAGACCTGACAGGCGCTTCCAATTGCAACATCTTCACATCGAACACACAAAGCTTGTTTCGAATCAGATGTGGTGTGGACGCCTGTAGGAAGCACGATGGCGAGGCTCATGGAATCATCGAGTGTACCAGGTCCTTGGAGCTGCTCTTTCCGGAATCTTTTTTTGTGGTGTTTAGACTTCCTTGTGCCTCCGAGCACACTCTTGCCGAAGCGCATTTGCCTAGTTGGCACTTTCTTGCTGGGGCTCGAAGTGACATGCTTGTGAAATTTAACATTGATATTCATTCTGCAGATGTTGATCATCTAGAATCTAGAACTCATCGCTTCCTCATTGTTTGAAAGGGTCCTTTAATACTGTTTTTTCTTTGGGTAAGCTCTTGGCCCCGGGCCAGGGAATACACAGGAAGATCAGGGCCAATCACGGGTACGCGCACGGGGTCGCCTGTATCGAAGCTCTTTCTCACTCTCTCTCTCTCTGTCTCTCTCGCTCTCTCTCTCTTTCTCTCGCTCTCTACCTGAAATCCTACGATTGAAAGACCGAGTGTGTACTTGTACTAGAGCGTGTCAATTGAGTTCTTTTCCCGCTCAGGGTTTAGGGACCTCTTAGGACTGCAAGAGCTGCAGCCAGCAGGAGCAGCAGAAACGTAGGACTGCAGGACTGCAGGGTCTGCGGAAGTGCTTAGAATTCAGCACTGAGCAATGGGAACATTCAAAGTGTTGTCCCCTACTTTTAATATCTTTTCCGAGGAAAATGTTGTTTACCTCCGGGTCCGTGTTGGGGATTCTTCCTTGCTGGTTCGTGGTCGAGGACCCCGGAGGCGGCGGGCATGAGGTGGGGAGAGTCACTTCATCTTAAGCCGACGAGAGCCCCGGGCGGCAGTAGGGTCTCCTCGGACGCGGGTCGACAGGCGGCAGGCATCAGTGACGTTGGTGATGCTCATGGCAGCCTAGGGGCGGCGGGCGGCGCGGCAGGCAGATTTGTGACGGAGATTTGCCAGACACGGCAGATCTCGCGCAACGGCAGTGGTGTTTCGTGTTGTTGTTTTCTGTTGCTGTTGCTGGTCCTTGTGTTGCTGGGGCTGGCTCTTTATGGCTTGCGCCGGAGGGGATGCCCTTTTGTCACTTCACCTTACCTCACCTCCCCTCTTCTCGCCTCACCTCGCCTCGCCTCGCCCACCTCAAAATGTTGTTTAGTTTTGCGGGAGGGCGGGTTGAAAAGCACGGGAAGAGATTCTAATTTATCTTCAAGCGGTTTCTTTCTCGCAAGTTGACAGTGTACATGGTTCCCGCCAGGGATTCTTGTACTGCTGCTGCCGTTGTCAAAGGTAGATTTGCGCAGCTGTTTTAGTCTTAGTCATTGTGTAGGACCCAAGGACGTCAATGAGAGTTCATTGCTGTGTGATTGCTGCTCTGTCGACTGCCTTGTGAAGAATCTGGAGGCCATCTTCGTTTGCAGAGTTTTCATTAGAAGCGAGCATGGGACGGCATTGAGCTCAATATGCGTGACGATGCCGTGTGTCCACCCTTGCAAACGTCCTGTTGACACTGCCAGCACATCGTGTCGAAACATGTCGGAATCTACTCAGATGATCCGTTTTCGCAGGATCAAAAAACCACACATTCACTGACATACGATACATCACACAGACGGAAAGCCGCATGCAACATCAAGCAGTTATTTGCAGTTCTGGTTTTACTTGCCGGGCGAATGCTTTAGCTCACTCAGGAATCAAGCTCTTCCCTCTGCTTACATGCGTACATCGACTCGGGCTAGAGAGTCTGGCAAGTTGGTTCATCACAAAATGCAGTCGGACCGTTTCGACATGACCACTCGCGCCCCCGATCCGTTTGCAGAGGCATTGAATGGTCAAGACTGTGTGGTCGAAAGTTACGCCCCTTGGCTATGTCTGCTTCAGACCATGCAATCAGCAAATTGTTATTATTGATCTGGTCGCGGAGCAGCGTCTTGATTTCCATCGTGCCTGATTTTGACAGCACCCTTGCGTAGTGCAGCAATGTTAGATAGCACATGAGAGCCTGTGTGGCCAGATGGATGGAAAAGATCGCTATGCCGTGAGGCTTGCTTGGCAAAAATCTGCAGCGCACTGTTTGACATGTCTAGCGGGTGAACAAAAGTGGCAATAGTTGATGTGACGCGGATTTTGCAAACCCCTATTCCGACGTCCTGTTCAGGCTCTTTGGCCAATCCGGCATCAAAGTGCTCAAGCCGGACCGATTGTGTAGCTCTTGCGGAGCGATCCGGTACAGTATGCTTGCGCAGTTCGACGGCATGCGTCTGTGCCTTGCTGGGAAGAGGCTGCTGCCGGGTTTCCCTCTTCTGACCATACTGACATTCACCATGATCCCATCAGTAGGGTCGGTATCCTTCTTCCCTCCTCCGGAAGCCGCGGAATTCAAGCTCTCGTGAGGACAATTTGGAGCAGTCGAAGATGGACGGACCATCATCAGAAGCAGCGTCGTAAACAGTGCCATTTGCCTGACTGCAACGGTTCAGCTGTCTGGATATGAGTGCGAAAGGGCCTCCGAGTGAGTTTCGTTCAAAGACGCACGCTATTCACGTAACTCTATGCAGGTTCTGCGAGACAGTGATGTCCGGGAACGCCTTCAACCTTGCAGAATGTGAGAAACTGATCTAGAAACTGCATGAATGCCGCGTTTGAGGTTCTTAACGATTGGCAGCATCACCAACATGGCTGAATCTTTAGAGCCCCAATGGCAGCTCTCATGTCATCAGTTTGCAACTTTTTCCTCAGACTATGCCACATTGACTTGTCGTCTCAATGAGTCACCCGTGCCGCAATGGGTGCCATGACCTTCCGGGTGTGTCCTCAGCGCAACCAGGCAACAGACCTTCCAAAGATGCCGTGAGGCTGGTAAACTGACCGAGCAGGCCAGCCGGGCTCGTGTACGCTCGACGCCGGACGTGTTGCCACCTCCCGGCGCCACGTTGGGCGAGGCAATCTCTAAGTGACGGTGAACTGGTGTCTACAGAGTGCAAAGGTGCAACTTCTGCTTCCCCAAACCTGTGGAATCGACAGGTGTTGCTTCAGGAGCTGGAAGAGGAGCTTTGGCACCTCGATGGCCCTGTCAATCGGATTTTGCAAAACGAGGCTCCGTCTGCGAAAGCAAATTGGCCGTCGCTGGATTCGGAAGCCTCGACGGAGAGGCGACTCGGGGGCCCTGTGGCTGTGCAGTGAGAGTCTTCTTGGACCTAAGGTCCGAAAGCTCGAGTGACAGATCACGGCGGCACAAGCAACAGAAGGTTCGGAAGTGTGTACAAGCTTCAGGATGCTTCCAGCACAGTTTCAATGCGTTTGCCTGCAGGCGGAGCTGCTGTCACCGCCTCCGTCCGGCTGTGTGCCGAAGGTGCACCACTCTGACATCCTTGTGCACCATGGCGCTCTCTCCGCTGGCAGGGCAGGCGGGCTCGATGCGCGGGAGTTGAAGCTCCAGAGGACGCTTGGGTGCTCTGAGTTTGCAAGAGCGAACTGCAGCAAGTCGGCCAGGACATGGATGCCTGGCATCGTGCCACGTGTTTCTCGGAAGCTGTGAAGTGTCTGGCCACGGATGCCAACGGAGCTTCGGCCCCTTGCCTGTCCAGCCTTTGTGCACCTGGTCACAGTCTGCACATTAGATTGCCAAACAAAGTTGAGCCCTAAACTAGGGTAGTGCAGAGAGCTGTGGGGCTTTGCCGGTAGCCGACTGAGGTTCTAATCTTGGTCTCTTCGAGGAAGAACCGCAAAGCAAGCGATCCTGCTTCGGAGGTCACAAAGCTGGCCTTGGTCGGAGTGGCGCTGACCGACGAGGATGCTTGATGCGCATTCTGATGCTGTCCCTCGAATATACTGGTTTAGTCGTCAAACAGAGAATGCTTTATTCCCTTGCATGATTTGATTGATGGCGAAGCTGAAGAGACTTGCCCCCGTCCACGCGGCGACTCTACCCACAACTAAGCCTTCTACCTTTGCCTTCGAAGGGTCGCTCTTTTGCAAGACAACCCCCGGAGACATCCTGCCATGAGCATCGCCAACCAGCTTATTTGCCAAAGCAAGCGCACCTCCAGCAGCTAGGCCTCCCCGAAATCCTTCGATCAGCCGTTGCTGGCTTCAACTCCAACTGGACGAGCATCGACGGGCACTTTGACCAGCTTGCTAGGGTACAGCTTCAACATGATAACTGTCGACCTCGTCGACGGACGGCAAGTCTCGCCCGAACACCAGTTCGTCAGTGTTTTCTAAAGAGTCGCTCTTCGGGAGTTTCGGCGGCACACCGCCGCAAGCGCGTATGCTAGACCCACTGTTCGACAACACAGTCGGGGACCTACTTGGGCCATCCTTCCCAACTGTGAAGTCATCATCTGGCAGTACCTCCGCATGTTCTCTGGCCTAGCTATGCTGTTTGGAAGCTGCCTTGCAACTGAGCAGGGTGACGCTAAGGCGGACAGAAGCTTTACTGGACACATTCTTAGACGCGGCATGCTGCTATACTTGTGTACTTGGTGCTTGTTGAACTTGTAGACATGGCTCCAAATCCGTGGCGTGCGGTTCATATGCAGACACTCGGGAGCGAAACTGTCTGCCACATTCCCCACCGATGGCCTTTCCATGTTATTCCGGCCTGATGAACCGGCTGCATTCTCGATCCTTCTGCCAATGAACACAGATTTCGGAGTCGGCGGTCTGTCATGGCAAACATCGCAATACGTGACCTTCTGCAACTCTGCTCACACGAATGGTATTCCCTGCTTGGAGTGCCCTGAACATGTGGGTTATCGCCGCAAGCTAAGTCTGCTAGAGTGAACACGATCGCCGAAAGAGCTTAACCGCGAACCTTTGGTGATGCAATTCTGCTTGACGTGCGGGGAGGAAGCTTCCAGACTTGCTGATCATCTTCACAGCAATCCCAATGTCACGGTCTCATTGTCATGCCCGAAGAGTTGCTGCAATCATGCCTTAGTTGCCTGTTTCGGATCGTGATCCCTAGGCTACGCATGTTTGCATCTGCATAGTGCAGCGCCAACTCTGCATTTCTCAGTTACATGACAGTCAGAGTTCAATCTCTGGTGAGGTGTTGCGCCTCGCCCTGGTGGAATGCACAGCTCCCAGCCGTCTTAGCCCTGTGCTGATTGCCTCGGCCAAGCTGTTTTATGTTTGCAACAGCTCCGATGGTTGCTGCCTGGCTTGTAAATTCACGAGAAGGCAACCTCGGCGACCAGGCCGCCGAGCACTTAGCCGAGGCTCCGCAAGTCGTCCGTCTACTTCTGAATGTTTGAATTTGGAAACCGGAAGGCCTTAGCCGCCAACGACGTTTTGACATCTCTCTCCTTGGAGGGCAACCGGGCCACTGCCCAAGAAGCTTCAGGAAAGTGTCGCCATGCGGTTGCCGACAACACAGAACCCGCAAAGAATGGACAGCGCTGAGACCTCTTGCTACGAGGGACCTAGAGCAGTTTCAGGTACGTAGCCGTGATGGAATCAAGCAGTCCGGCTTGCGGCGCTCCCGATAGTAATGCGAGTGCCAGCAGACATTTTCTGTTTCGACCATCTTCTGGCATGCGCTTCTCCGCAAGCAAGTTGTTTGCATCACTCATCGATGCGTGCACTTGTTATTTATCATTCCAACATGTGGAGCTTACTTGCCCCTACAGTGCCATACAGATGAAAAGCAGCAGGGTCCGCATGAACCTTCCTTGTCGAAGAATGTCGCTGCACAAGGTGGGCGATCGGGGCGCCGGTCGGCTGGCGAATGCTCTGCAAAGGAACGAGGTGGTCTCTGATGTCTGCACAGTAGGAGGGTCAATGCAGGCTCTTGCTTGGAGCATGCTCTTTATCGCACATAGGTGCAGCCGGGTCGTGCTCCCGGGGGCCTTGTTGCAGGCTTTGACCTCTCTGAGCTTGGGCAGGCCCAGAGTTCGAGTGTGCTGCCTGCCGAGTATGTCAGCGTCGATTGTCCTCCCATCGCCAAGTCTTGATCAACAGCGCTTCAGCACGGCACAGGTTGCTGTTGAGTCATCGTAGTTCAACTTGAGGTTCGTAGCTACCCTCACAAGTCGAGGTTGTATCTGAATCTTGGCATAGGAAGACATACACCCGGTGGTCAGCTCGATCAGGTCTTGGGGCAGATGTTATTCTTCATTTACCTGCGCCAATTGCAGGAACTGCGTGGGAAACCAGGGTGTCAAGCAATTGCTGGACGCCTTGGAGAACAACTACACGCTGCGAATTCTGGACCCTTGCACTTTGCTGTCGTTGAACGACCAGAGCTGTTCTGCTTGGAGCTTCAAGGACCTGACCAGCAACAGTGTCTCACGGCCTGGCTGGTCCATTGCAGGCACGGGATACAGGATCGGTCTTGCTCTTCTTGATCTCGCCTGGCAGGTGACGGGCGAACGGCTAACCAGAAGCGCCTGCAGGCCTTGCCACCACGCGTCGCCTGGTGAGCTGTTTGGGTTGCAGATGTTTACAACGTCGTGCATCGTGGCTCACCGGCAAAGGCACGATGCCAGCACGTGCCGGTACAAGAACTTCACGCTTGCGTGAGAATGAGCTTCATTTGTAAGTCTACCTCGTCACTGCAGTTTGCTACGCAGTCGATTTAGAAAGTGGGCCTTAAAGTAGCCGTTGCCCGTTGCCTTCAGAGTGAGCTCTGGTGGCGACCACGCCGTGGCCATGGAGCCATGCGAACGCTCTCTGCACAGCGGGCAGCCGCCAAAGCTACGGCCACGGACGCCGCGCTGGGAGTCGCCAAAGCAGGACCACGGCTCGAGACTTCGCTTGGGCCCGTTGCATGTCTTGAAAACTAGAACATCCCAGAGCATCCCTGGAGTGATCCCATGGGCGGGGCATGGCGGGGCCCCGGCGTGTCGGATGCAGCACCTCAGATATTTGCCTTTTGTTTTGTGTGGCCATACGCGCCTCGAGTGGTGAAATTCCGATGAAAAAGGCGACAACTCGTAAGACGTCGTTTTCCTTCATCAGGGCTTTGGTGAGTGTACGGCTCCGAGGGAGATTAGTATGTAAGCGCATGTTTTGAGGGTTATCTTGCAGAGGCTAGTCTGCTGCCTTGGACTGATATGCATGTTTTCAGGATTATTGGTCGAGCCTTTGAGCGGCATGGGTTGGTAAATGCATTCCGTGGTCTGCGAGCTATGGGTTGGGGGGCCGGGATGAGTGTGCGGCTTGGCTTGGCGCGGCCTGCAGCCTGTCTCGGTGCTTTTTCCGCACCATGTGTGGCTTGGCTAGGGTCCTGTGTCTCATCAGCTTGTGCTTGGCTCGGGATGAGGCTTGGCAGCAACCTTTTAGACCGGCAAACCGCAAAAGGCATGCCTCCGTACACCTTGCATGCCAAACCCGTAACACTGAAGTCAAGGTGCTGATGTCGTCAAGGGAGCGGCGTTCAAAATCCATAGAACTTCTACCTCACGAAACCGAGCGGAAACGTGATCAGAGATTGTGGAGCCACGGAAAGAGCAAGATTTTACAACCATCAGCGGTACCCACCTTGTGCTTGACTGCGGAAAGACGGCAATTGCAATCCAAACTGCAGCAAACAAGTTGCCCCAGTGGTGCCCAAAACAGATTTGACAGTAGCGGGAAGACGAGATGCATTCAACAAATCGCGCGGCACTGTGGCGGGAGCATGCGCGCAAATAGACCGCACGCGCACGGGTAGACCTGCAGCCACCAGAGCAGAAAGGACCAAGCCAAGCCAAGCTACACCTCGAATACAAGAGCAGGCAGCTAAGTCAGGCCAGGCCAAGACAATCCGCACCGAGGCCAAGCCGCACCTAAGAAAGGCAAAACCTGCAGGGCTATCTGGGCCTCTCGGCCCAGGTTTTCAAAGGATTTGCACGTTGCGCTCTGCCATCTAAGATTGGTCAGCCTTCGCCCAGTGTGCATTATGTGATACCATCAAAACCGCAACACAATGAATTTGAGCTTCCTGCAACAAGGCTTGTTTCCATTCGAATGCATAATTGAACCTCACACAGAGGGGAAGATTACGGGAGATTGTACGTGACCCTGTGTTGCTGGATGACCGACGTGCCAAAATTAACGTAGCTTTCCCAATTTCATAAAAGCACGACGAAACAGGTTTTCGTGTGAATTGTAACAGACTTGAAAATCGTGTTTTAGTCATAGGTTCGTGTTTTAGTCATAGGTTTGTCCAAACCTCGATGCAATCCAAGTTCAGCATCCCAGTTTGGAAAGTTCGCTCGTAACCACGAAGCTTGAGCAGAGCTTTGGTGAGGCAAGCCTCTGTCTTCACTAGATTTGCAGTTCGTACCTGGACCTGTGTTCTTAAATCATCCCCGGAACCATCTAAACTTCGAGTTGCAAATGAATTGGACTACATTACGCTGTCCTAGGCTGTACTGCATCAGTCTAGTCTTCCAACTCCATCCTTAAGTGATCTCACTGTTCACTCATAGACCGTTCCTCAGACGGGCTGCAGAGGCTTTGTCAGTGCTTCACCATTCTTCACTAAGACCTGAGTAAATCCCGTGTAATGTTCCGCGGAGTGCCCGGGGCTATCACGACGATCCCAGCATTGCTGCCATTTGAGCGATAAGCGGTCTGTCCTGACAGGAGGAGGTCCAATCTTTTGCTTCATTTTCCTCGCCCGAAGCTTAGCTCCTGTTCTCAGACGAAGTTGCGAGCGATTCGTTGTGCTTGAGCCCAGGCTCTCGCTGCAGGAGCAGATGGATTTGGAGAACCCAAGGCTCTCTGCACAAGCTGTGTCAGCTGTGTGGTGCAGGAAAACGTTTGAAGATCAGTGGCACGCGAGCCGTGGCAGGATTCTACCAGGATGCGAGACATTTTGCAGCTTTGGGAGAAGGCCCTTGCATTGCACAAGAATAGCTTGGGAACGGCAATGTATCGTGTACGGCGTGGCTGGTACATTGCGACATTGCGAAGCGCTTTTCGTTTCTTCCAGAAGAAGCGCTGCGCGCTCGCATACAGCATGAGCCGGCCTCCGCCGGACCAGGGGTTCCTTCTAAAAGAAGCGGGAGGGGACACATCTTCTAGTGGGTAGAATTGCGAACCTTAGCCTAGCACACGCGAACAGGTGCGGCTCTGTGTTGCCGCCTTGCACATGAATGCCCACAACGATGAGCAATCGGAAAAACGAAGCGGCCAGGGTGTTGAGCACAGCAAGTTCACGACAGCCATTAGAGGCCACCCATCTTGATGCAGGCTTCGAAGCGAAGCGCAGGGGAACTTGACTCCCAGAGGAGAGGGAACGTGCCAGCCATTGACTGTGGAGCGCATGTCGTCCTGCACGTGAGCCGGCAAAATGCAGCACAGAGATGCGGCAGAGCCTGACGGAAGAAACTGAAAGCCAAAGGCCACACAATTAAAGTGTATCGGCTTGAGAAAGCAAGGCAGGGCCGAGGAGTCCCAAGACGGTTCCGGCGAGGCATGCGGAAGCTCTTGAGAGGTTGCCGTCGGGCCCATGGCCACGCCCCCCAATAAGTAAGCTCGTCCGAATTGCTGTAGAGGCTGCCGTTCGGCCGGTGCGCTTGCGTTTTGTCATTGTACTGGGCGTGAAGTCTCCGATAATTGACTTCCAGCTTGTAGCTGGAGGAGACGCGGGCGCTGGTCGATGAAATTGTCGTGCCCGACTTTCTGAGTTGCAGCTTCGACAAGGGGTGGGAGGCACACGACTCTGCTGCTGCTGGTAGTTCTTGGGAAGAAGCAGTCGTTCGAGCAAATCGCCCGCTGATGTGACATGTTGAATTCGCGAGGCGGTTCGTCTTGAGATGGTCACAGCTCTTCACCATGTGCCCCATACTCAGCATGGCAAGCAGTTGACATGCTGGCACTGTTGCACTCACCAACTCCGCACCAACATACTTTATCTGATTTGTTTATCTTTGCTTGACTTACCAATAAGGCTTGAGTCCAGGCTGGATCACACCGTACAAGCTTCGAGGGCGGCGGGAGGAGAACATACAACACAAATGCTCATGCACATCAGTGGCACAATGTTGAACTGATGATGACGCTGATGCTGATGCTGATGCTGATGCTGATGCTGATGCTGATGCTGATGCTGATGCTGATGCTGATGCTGATGCTGATGATGATGCTGATGATGATGCTGATGCTGATGATGGTGATGATGATGATGATGCTGATGGTGCTGCTGATGATGATGCTGATGATGCTGATGGTGATGATGTCTTGTTGCGAATCAGACATCAGGTGCTCGCATGGTCCGGCAAGTGAGTTTAGGATGTGGGGCTTATGCTGGAACCTGCGTTGGCCGCAACCCTGGGTGGCAAACGGTACAAAAGGCCCTCGTCGCCTGCGAACACCATGGCAATCCAGAGCTCACGAGTTAGAATGTGCAAGCACGAACAACTTCAAAGTTCTGCCAAAGGAGTGTAGGACGCCGCGCGAAAATGCATGCCACAGTCCGTGGCAGCCGCACAGGTTGTTTTGTCCGTTCCGCATCTCCTGTGCAGGCCGCAGGGTCTTCCGAGATTTCCTGAAGCACTTGCTGAACTTCCGAAGTATCCGTGGCTGGAGAAACTTTTCTCTTTGGCAAAGACCATCCAGGAGGATCGTTGTTTTTCGCTCTAGCAGTTTCAACATATGTTGCAGATTCCTGGCTGTCGGAAAGAGGAATCTAAAATTGCATTTGCTCCTGCCAGGAGACTGTGGTACACAGGCATGAGGACAGACCTTGGATGGATTTGAGTTGCGACTCGCAGAAACTCAAAGCTTGGCTATCCGAACGCGCCAGGGTCAGTGGCATCTTGCCGGGGACTTTCATGGAATGAAAGCGCTAGCTCTGCAACCAAAGCATCTGCAGAGACTCAGCTGCAACGGCTTTCGGCATCTTTTGCAGGGGCAATCTTCTGCCACCCAATGTGACCTGTCAGGTGCTGTGCAAGCTTTGTGAGATGTGCTGCAGCTGCAGGCCTGAGACGAAGTCGTGCTTCTTTGGCTACATCAACATGTTCTACATCGTCGCGTGGTGGTACGCCCTGAGCATGGATTTTAACGAGGCCGAACTACCAACTTGCGAGGCTCCATGACTCTAAGGCTATGAGAACGCGCCACGCACCGAGGCGACCTTGTACCTGCAACTGATCTCACAACTCCTCAAGAAGGGGCAGCTGGATTGGACTGAGCATTCTGGCTGGCCCATCACCTCATGGAGTGTCTACCTGATTCTTTGCTGCGACTAGACCTGCTTTGTGCTTGCTTTGCCCGTGAGCGACAGCTGCAAGGAACATTCAACGCATGCACACGGGCATGCCTTTCTCGCCTCTTCCCGCAGACCCGAGCGGTGCTTAGCAGATCTTGTGACATTTATAGAGCAAGTCTATCAAGCGTAACTGCCTCCATCGCGATTTCATGTGAGGACTCCTGTTCATCCACTTTCACACTTGGTACCGGCAGTTTGGCCGCTGCCGGGATCCCGACATTACATATCCAAGCAACCACTCCAACCGCAAAGCGTCTTTGCTCCAATCAACCTCTGGCTGACAGTTGCATTGCTGATTCGACGAGCTGTTGCCGTGCTGGTAGATCGTGCTAGACTCTTGCGAGGTATCAGCGTATTTTACATTGCAATGCATGTCGCTTGCTGGCAGTGTCCAAGCACAGGCAAACGAAGTCAGGGATCATTTGTCGTGATGTTCGCATGGCAACAGAATCGCCGGTGCTCGCAAGGTCGTCCCTTTCAATGACTTCTTGACATTTCTAGATGAATGGTGGCAGACGGCTGGTGGAGCAGACGCATCGTCAGTCAAGATCTATGCGCACCCTGTTGCGCTGGTACAAGAGTGTTTGTCGTGTTTGCAACGAACTCGACATTGTCGTGATTGTGATGCCGGGCCCCTGTGTCTCGCAGTCATGGACAGTAAGGAACTACATGGGCTTCCCTCGATGCTGTCCTGGTGTTGGTCAGGCATGCTCCCAGAAGGCGCACCGGACCTCGCACCGTACAGGAAGTTTTTGCCGCTTGGGAAGTTTTTGGGTGCTTGCCACAGGACTTGGAAGCAGCGGTGCCGATGCAGAAAGACTGGAGGATACCTTACTGCTGTCAAGACGAGCACCTCTACAGCTTGATAGGCAAGGATCTCTTTGCACTCTTGCCGGTGTACCGTTACCTGTTTCCGAATGAGACTGCACGCAAACTGAGCCGTGTGTCCAGCAGGCGTTCCACGACTCCATGATCACAGCCAGGGGCAATGGGAAGGTGCATACCGCAACCACCGCAATGACCACTGGCAGCCCGATTGCATGAAACACTGCCGGACCATATTTTGCCTGTTAGTCGATGTGCTGACTTGACCTGTGTTTTCTTGCTGGGTAAGGTCGGATGTTAAGCAGGAATTTGCTGCCAAGTATTACGACTGGATGAACTCCCATGTGGATCTCGTTCTTTGTGGGCATCCGATCTTCTGGTGCACGCTTTTCGAGGATCCTGGCGTTGTAGTAGTAGATTCAGCGTGGTGTCTGGCCGCTTTGCATCTGGACAGGGGAAAGCCAGCTTTTCCGCTAGCCTGTACTCGTACCAAACGACAGTATGCCAAAGGAGTGGTATTCTCCAAACGGCTGTGATACCATGTGTTCAGCCGAGTAAGTCAGAGGACTTGCTGCGCGCTAACCACAAGAAGTCAATGATCGCTGTGCCTTTGGTAGCAAAAGCTGGCGATGGTTGCCGTTGCACATCGTTAACCTGGTGTGTCTCTTGCTTTCCAGCGCCGAGAGTCTATTCGAAAAGCCATCAACGGGAACCTCTTCAGCTGCGAACAGTGCACAGTGTACAACTTCTTGCTTTTGACTCTTTGCCAGCCAATCAGGTCTACGACCAACCGCCTTTCTTCTTGGTGCCCGAAGATGGCGAGGATGATTTTGCGGAGCGCTTGCAAGCTCTCGCGGACCCGGAATTCCAAAATGCCGTGGTGGTAGGCCAGTTATGGCTGAAAGTGAAGTGATTGCGGGCATGATGTCGTCCTAAAGCACAGAGCGAGCTGTAATGGCATTTGGTGGGATCTCGCCCGCAGGCCATGGCCTGTGTCTAGTCGCCCTTGGCCCGAAGTGAAAAGTTGCAACACACAAGCTGTTTCAGATCGATCTAGCAGCATATAACTTATAACAGCCATGTGTGGGTTTGACGATAGACATTCGTGCTCTTCTGAGAGGCTTTGCGCCTTTCTTCACTCGCCAGTTTGAATGGTTATTTGGTCGTGTCTTGTCCGAAGAGAAGCTACATGCATGATGGCAGGCATGGTCTGTTGTGATACGTCTGTTGCGACAAGCTTAAGCATTCTGCGATGCTTGCGCAATCCAGCTCGGCTGGTCTCACCGGGTGCAGAAGCTAAGGCAAGATCCCGCACAGTCGCCCAATAGCTTTGGTCGTCAAAGATGTTTGGCAGCCACTTCAACCAGATTCCGTGCTCTTCTCCACTTCTATTGATGCAGAAGCGATAGGCATTCAGTGCTTGCAATGATGTGGACTCCGTTCTCTTATTCAGCGGCGCGAGTGCCTTCGTAGCGTGGTTTTGTAGACCTGCTGATTGGGTTTGCAGGGATTTTCTTTCGCTACGCGGAGGAGAATGTCATCGTGGACTGGGTCCCAAATTACGCTCAAGTGTGCTGAATGCATCTCGAAGTTTCGAAGACGACAAACGAGGATCCAAGTGGCTTGCAGCTGAGATTCCTGGAGTGGGGCTTGGATGTGGCCCTGCCCAGACATTGATTTCTTTGGCATGTGTATCCTGGAGCAGCCGAGCAAGGGTCAACAGCCAATGCCTTCCAGTGAAAGCGTGTTATTGAAGCCTGTGCCAGGCCGCTGCCAAGAATGCGGGGCGCACTGGTCTGAGCTACGAGACTCCAAAATCGGAGCTTGCACAACTTCGTTGCGACTTGGCCAAAAACCGCTTGCAGTTAATTCGCAGCACGTTAGTTGGACCTTTGAAGCCTAGGTGTCGTTGTTACGCCGTATGACTTCGCCCACTTCAAGCTGCCGGAGTTCAAGGCCATGGGGATGCCGCGGCCTCGACGCGCAGAAATTCAAGTACTCTGCTCTGCACTGCTCTGCACTGCTCTGCCCTTTTTGAGCCTTGCTGTGCACTTGCCGAACTCTGCTCGTTCGAGGCCGATGTTCATGCATTCGCAACTCTGGAAATGGACCACCCGCTGGTCGCAGATGATTTCTCGCCCCGCCGGCCGCAATGCCTCCCAATTTGCAGACAGTCGCTGGCACCCTCCACATGAATGCTACACCGATCTGCAGACACAGGACAAGAGATTTGCAAGTTCCAGGTACCTCAGTCTTTCGGCCTTGAAAACTTATAGCAGTTTCCTGGAGGTCTATATAAAAAGGGGAGGGGTCAACCACAGAATAAAAAAGGTCTGTCTAGTCTGGAGTTCCCAAAGCGAGGGTCGGAGCAGGCCCCTTCCAGGCGTCACATGCCTTCTGGGGCCTCGCTCAGGCTGGCACGATACAGAGGTCAGCTCTGGCCCTTTCCAATCGTCTACAGGTTTGCTAAGGGTTGGCACACCCATTATAGCAGTGCGCTGGCTTCCGCAGTAGGTGCCGACCCCTTTTTTAGCAGAAGAAGAACGCATGACTGTGCCTCCGCTACCCTCATGAGGATCGAACTACAAAAACGTAGGTAGACGTTGCGTGTGCGGCGGACTGTGGAAGCAGCTTTCCCCTGCAGGGACTTGGCATCAGCTTCCCCGCACGGCACTGTGGAAGCAGCTTTTTCCCCCGCACGGGACATCACGGGACTGTGGCAGCTTTCCCTGCCGCACGGGACTGTGACAGCGCGCAGGGGCTGTGGCGGCAGCACCTTTGCTCCCGAATTTCCCAATGTTTCTCATGCCCTTGAAGACACTGTACCGGTCTGACCTTTTCCGCGGGGGTAGTCTGCGGCGGGGTAGGATGGGATATGGCCGCTGCATACACGAAACCCTCACCCAACCTGTCTGCATTTGTGCTTGTGACAGGTGCCAGCAGTTCGTCTGTTCAGGTATTGCAGATCTTCACAGCTTCACCCCGCCCGCCCTCCCCAGATGGAGTAGGTGACGGTGCATGGATGTCTGGGGGATGTCAGCCTTTCTCTTGAATTGGTTACGGCCGGGATTTCCTAAACAGGGACGGAGGGGGGGGGCATGTGCCCCCCTTCCACAACAGTGATGAATGTGCAGCCAAAATGGTCCGCCCATGCCTGACATCAGGTGCACTACAGGTAAAGCTGAGTGTTCGGCAATTGTAGCGTGGGGTAGGCCATTTGGAACAGATACAGCTAGATTATAGAGTGCCGCCTGACACAACCCCATTTCAGCAGCAGTCGGCTGAAGATTTGTTTACGGTCCGGCCCTCCCATCTCGGATACCTTGGCACGCCCCCTCTTGGTCTTCATTTAGCCTGAGACTGTATTGAAAAGACTGGGAGTAACTCTCCCCTGCTGTTCCAGGCCTCCTTCAGAACCGTTGTATGCAGTACACCAATAAAGGACAAACCATGACGCCTATAACATCCTACAACCTTCAACCTTCGGGGGGGAGCGAGAGAGAAAGAGAGAGAGAGAGAGAGAGAGAAAAAAAAAGAAAGCAAAACCTAGAGGGCTCGCTCCACGTGCTCCACGGGGCCGTGAGATCACTCCCCATACCCCCAGCAAGCAGGCAAGCAAGCCAGCAAGCAAGATAGATATGGCAACCGTGTTGGCTCAATTCAAAAACGACGCCTGTCACGAACGTGCTGATGCGCAATGCAGCAAGAACGGGGTCGATCACAACATCACAGGTCCTAGCCGCAAAGCAAACGAATCTGCCTGTTCGGGCTTTGAGGCTAGCACGCACCCATTCTAGCATGAACAGCTTCGCTAAAGCGGGTGGCTCAAGCTGTTGGACGCAAATGGTTGCCACAGGCCCTTTTCAATATGTGCCTCCTAAGCCTTGTCGCTGCAGTGCCGAAGGGGTCGGGTCAACCTTTTTCATTTTAAAGCAACCCTGGCACAGACCCTTTCTAGAATCTAAAAAGGGTCTGCCGACCCCACAGATGTCGTTGGAACTGCTATAAAACTTGCGATGCAGGTGCAGGTCAAGAGAGCCGGTGACAAAATCAAAACATGCGTGACACCCTGTTCCTCATACACTGTGTCATGTGCATTTGCATTCAGCCTCCTGTCCAAAATAGGGGGCAACAGGCAAGTGCTACTTGCCCGAATTCGGGCATTTTAGCGTGGTTTTGTCTGCTTACACTGGTTCTGGAACGTAGCCAGAGTGAACACAAACGGATCTTCGACGAAGGGAAGTAGGAGCAAGCCTCTAGATGAGTTAAGAAGTTTTCCCTTTCCCCCAACTGGAGGAGCTGCAAATGCCAACTTTGCCGGAGTCGTTCTACACGGACCCTTGGGGTTTCCTCCCCGACGAGCGCCCATGCCATGGCCCTAGACTTGCAGCGCACATCCTGTGACTCCGTGTTTCCAATAGAGCTGCAGGTGCCAAGGCTTTGTCGCAGTGGGATGATCACGCAGGTTCGCAGCACTCGGTTTGTGTCTACACTTGTTGGGGGCAGTAGGTGCGAATCCCCGGCAGGACCCTTCGGACGCTCGCCGTTCCAGCTGTTCACCATAGACCGCAGGGATTTGCAACCTTTAGACGGCACGCTCTTCTGGTCCCAATGGAGCGAGATGTCCCTGCTGCCCTACACTATCTACTTTGAGCCTCAGCGAAGTAGTGCCAGTCGTGTTACCCTGTACACCTTGCTGGACAACATCAGTCCTGCCTCTTTGTCCTTGTCGAGATTGTCGGACCCAGCAACACGCTCAAGCTCCGCAAGCTCTTAGGATTCGGCGGCGCATCTGATCGCACTGCTTCGGCACTTGCCGCTGGAGGAGAACACGTGAATCGCTTCATCCACAGCAGAAGGATCAAATCTGCGCCGCAAGGCGTTGATGGACCTCTCGCGGGCGACACGGCACTGGTACCGTCAAGAAGCATATCAGGCGATGGATGCCTTGAAGCAAGTCACAGCCGTCTGCCTCTACGTGCCAGGTGGTAGAGTTTTGGCGTGGACTGACCGTCGCCCTTCTTGGGGGTGATGCTGCAACCTTCAAAGGAGTCATGCCCCGACAGTAACGAGCGGCTGCCACGAAAAAAGATGCCGTGTTCTTTTCTGCTAGAGCTTCTAAAGCTGCTGAAGCATCATTCGAGACACGCAGATCTTCTATCCCTAGTGGCTCAAACTGATCACTTTTCGCGATGTCGATAGCATCTGGTGAGCGAGCCGGCAGCAGCATGCGTGTTAAAGAGACTGATCTAGGTTAGTGGGCAAGAACAGCAGGACTCGGCTTTGCACTAGCACTGGATCCAGCCTGTCAAAATAAGCATCGCAGACGAATTGTCGGCTTGATCATGGCATGGGAGCAAGAAGATCCTTGGGAGCACGGCGCAGACCCTTGGCAGCAGAAGCAGCAGCAAGCGTTGCAGGACACTGCGTGGAATGCCGATGCCGACGGAAGTAATGGGTACCAGTCCCAGTCGGGCCAGACCTGGGGCACTTCGGATACCTACACGGCCCAGAAGACACAGGATGAAAGTAGCGGCTGGGGGTATGACAATGCCCAGCAAGCGCCACAGGCCGAAGGCAATGATGGGACGTCGTGGGGCAGTTGGGGCAAGCAGCAACAGGAGCCAGCGGACGCATGGTCTTCGTGGACTGGAGGATCGACCAACGCTTGGCAAACAAACCAGCAACCTGCCGAGACTGCCGAGGATGCAAACAAGAGGCGGCACGAGACCTATCGGAAAGAGTACTATGATTGCCAAAAGTGGTACAAGGATTCCGGAATCCTGCCCGACACCCACAACAGTTCGTGCAAATTCTTAGACGAATCAGGCGACAGAGGAGTCGACTTCGAGCTGTACAACTCAGTGGAAGTTCAAGTCAGCGGTGACGGGTCGGAGTCCCTTCCGAAACATCTAGACACTTTTGAGGATTTGTTTTCCCGCTTTGACACAGTCCCGAAGCAGCTGGAGGAGAACCTGAAGCTACTCAAGTTTCAGTACCCTACACCTGTGCAGAAATATGCCGTCATCGCAGGACTAGCTGGACGGGATGTCATGTGCTGCGCTCAGACGGGCAGCGGGAAGACAGCAGCATATTTGATCCCCATGCTAGCAAGCATGATGAAGAACCACAGAGCAACTGGTGGGCTGAAAGAGCCCTTCGAGGGTCCTTGTAAGCCAGACACTCTGATCTTAGCTCCTACTCGGGAGCTGGCACTTCAAATTTACGACGATGCCCTCCGCTTCTGCTATGGTACAGACTATCGCGTCGTCCGTGTTTATGGACAGGAGGCACGAGGAAATCAAATCCGTGACTTCTCCAAGGGGGCCGACATTTGCGTGGCGACGCCCGGTCGCTTTGCAGATTATGTGGAGGCCGAGATCATCAGTGTGAAGGAGACTTACTGCCTGGTGCTTGATGAGGCTGACCGAATGCTAGAGCTCGGCTTCGAAGAAACCATCCGAGAGCTCGTGGAAAAGCGAGGCATGCCTGGAACCAACGAGCGCCAAACCATGATGTTCTCGGCCACCTTTCCAGATGAGATTCAGAAGATTGCCAACAACTACTTGCACCGGCACTTGTTTGTGCGGGTGGGAAAGATTGGCACGCCTGCTGCAACAGTCACCCAGGTGGTAATGCAAGTGGAGAAAAACGAGAAGCTCGACAAGCTGGTAGCCTTGATTGACCAATGGATGCAACACTCTCGGACTACTGGTGAAGAACGAATGCTCGTTTTCACGAACAGTAAGAACCAGACCAAGGCCTTGGACGAGTTCCTCTGGGACAAGGAGGTTGCCAAGACGGGTGCCCTTCATGGCGACTTGGACCAGCCGAAGCGAGAGTCAAACCTCGCCTTGTTCCGCGAGGGCAAGATTGATGTGATGCTAGCAACAGATGTGGCAGCCAGAGGACTCGACATTAGCAAGGTCTCCCATGTGGTGAACTACGACTTGCCGAAGGAGCCGGCTGTCTACGTTCACCGAATTGGACGTACGGGCCGCATTGGCCATCGTGGCACGGCTCTGAGTTTCGTCACCACGGAAGATGGCTGGTGGCTGGATACTGAAGAGATGCTCCGGGAGTTGCCCACGTTCATGGAGCGGGCGCCGAACACGACGGTGCCGGACTGGCTTCTTGAGAAGTGCAAAACCCTAACAGCAGGATCATGGGGTAGCAAAGCGGACGATACGAAGGACGCTCGAGAATCCTGGTCCGGGCCGGAGCCTCAGTTGCTTGATTTGCCATGCGAGCGGACAGAGCGCTCATGGTAGTTTCGAAAAAATCCACCGCCTGCGTCAGGTGGACACCTACTGCAGAGGGAGAGTGGGCCCAAAACCAAGAAGACACTTGGAAGGACAGTTGGGAGCAGCCGCAGCCTCCCGATGAGGTTACTCAGAATCCTGAAGAGGCCGCTCAGCATGAACAGCAAGAAGCGGCTGGACAAAATGGTCAGGATGCGCAGGATTTACAGAACGATGAGGCATGGGGTTCAGCCTGGAACTAGAGTCACGCCCTGAGTCCAAGTTTTGTACAGGGATTTCGTCTCAAATAGGAAGTCATCAGAGACTTCGCGCTTTAGTCTAGGGCTACCAGCTCTGCGAGTTTGAAAAAGTTGGCAACGAGTTGCTGAGCCGCCTTCTGGTTTTCAGCGGCTTTCAAGCTGTCACGTGGCGAAAGGCGCTGCTCCAACGAAATCGGGCACCCAGGAAGGCAAGGCTTGAGACATCCCACGACGTCTCACGACTCTCTCTCGACCGTCTCGGCCTGGGAAGGTTGTCACTTTGCGTGCACAGCTCCAGAGCCCACGAAGCTCAGAGTCAGAGTTTCAGGCAGCCTTGGGACTTAGCTTGGCTCGGCTCCTTCCCTCTTTCGGCCGTGGATAGGTTGGCGGCGACCAGCTGCCAGAAAGGACAGCCGTCTTCAGCAGGGAAGCTCTCACATGAGTTTGACAGTCGGGCAGGACAGATGATAAATCCCTAGACGCACTGGCAAGCGCGCTGCAGACGCTGCATATTTCCTGCACTAGCATGGCCAGCTCCTCAATCTGAAGTGAAGCTTAGTCGAAGAACACATATTTTGCATGTAACTGCGGACATCTTGCAGACTTTGATCTCTGCAGGCCGGCACGGTCCTCACAGAGCTGGCGCTTGATGCTTCCAAGGGCCTGCGCGAGCTACGAGAGGCGCCTGTGTTGCCACCAAGACTGGGAGCTAGAGCTCACTTTGAACTTGAGATGAGCCAACTAAGTTTTTGTCGTTCGGACAAATGGTTCCTCACTGCAAACATATCTGACTTTGAGATGCCTCTTCGATCACGGGTAGTGCACATGTGTCATATGTGCATCTGCTGTAGATTGGCCCTGTGAGGAGCTCGCTGCGAGGCGGGGCATGAGCGAGGTGTCGTTTTCAGAAAACGCGCTGGAGATGCCTTTTTTTTGTGCGGCAGGCTGGGCCTTCCCAAGTCCGGAGCTGAAGAGAAGAGCCGCCAGAGATGATGTGCAACAGCAGTCTGCTGAGGCCTCAGCTCGCCCTGCTTTTACCCGACGGACGTTTACTCAAGGCAGGATGTTTCACACATTGGCTGCAAGCTGTGTTCATGCCGTGCCCATGTAAGCCTTGCATTTCTTCCTGTCTTCCAGTTCTCCGAGGGGACTGAACAACCCCACAGGCACGAGACCATCGTTCTTTGATGGAGATTTTCACTTGCCTGGATTCGCGGAGTCAGTGGCCAAGTCCGGGTTTCGTTGGAACTTCGGAGAAGGCTGCGACTACTTGGAGTGCAAAGCGTCGTCTGAGGTGACGCCGATGATCCCATAGAGTGCTAGTTGGCCTCGACCTGTTGATAGTAAGGCTGCT